TAAAGTATTACCAAGAATGAAAAAAAAATAAATTAATTATCAATATATAGATATACATACACTTAACTAAGGTAATGTGATTAAAGTTTTTTACTAAATTAAAGTAATATGTATGAGCTTATGATTAAGTCACTTAGGCATTAAATTTAGGAAAATTGTTCAGAAAAGTTGGCTATTATTTAAATATGCTTTTTTCGACAAAAAATGAATAACAATTACATACTAATTTATTCAAATTTTGTTTTTAATTTTTAAATTATTGAATATTTGTTTTTTCTCAGTATATAATTAGTAATAAGCATTTTGAAATGTTTATGTAATAAGCTTTTGGAAATTATTTTAAAACTAAAATTTACATTGAGATCCTTATTTTCAATTTATACTTCCACAATTACTTCAGTAGTGGGAAGATAGAAATCAATCAAAGAAATTTTTGAAAACTCAATTAACATATTTTAGGACTCTTCTAGTCTAAAAGTATTGATGAGTTGTAATTATATCAATATTGGAAATACATTATCTATAGCTAAGCAATAATGGCTCTTCAATGCCTGTGAAAGTTTTTTTTTTTACCTTATTAAAAGGGATTTAGGTGGTAACTGGACTTGAAATTTTCAAATATCTAGGAGTAGATCTAAAGGAATATAGGGTTTGTATAGAGACATGACATAGCATCAACACAAGCAGAGATGCATGTGGGATATTAAAAGAGGCTTCCTGAACAGGAGAGAGAGAGGAAGAATGTGGAAGACCAGCAAGAATGGCTTTATAGTGTTGATTACATTTTCAGTGTTCAATAGTGACTCATATAATGATTTTTGGACAAATAATATGCAAACTGATACTGGGGTGCTAAGAGTGCTTTATAAAATAAACTTATAGAACAAAAAAGAAAATTTTAACTTTTTATTATGAAAATAATGACAGTATTTTTTTTTTGTATCTTTTTTATTTATAAAAATTATTAGTATTTTAAAGGGGATAGATGTTTCAAAAGTATTCTTGAATCGCCATATAAGGAATCTAACCATAACTCTGATCTGAAGACCATATAACTAAATCAACAATTGCTCATGAACATAAAATAATCTATTTGTACATATGACTTTGTACTCATGAAATTATTTTTAGGATTAATCAAACATAATTTTATATACATAAATATGTGTTCATGTGTTATTTTATGCATATTTGAATATTTAACTGGTATTAAAAGAGGTTTTAATGTTTTATAAATAGAAACAGATTTTATTTTAGACTCTTGAAGATGAAATAATAGACAGCTATGACAATGTAAGCTAAAAAGGCAAATGTAATTGACCTAGGGCTCTATAATTAATTAACAAATCACATTTATAGACTGATTGTAATGCCAGGACAAGACATTGGCTGACATCGGCATTCTATTTATCAAGGATCTTTATGCAAAATTAACTTCTTACAATCATATGACAATTTCAAACTGATATTTTCTTTAAACGCTGGAGTATTTTCTACTAAAGTTGAGGGAATGGCAATGCTGTATATTTGGCTAACGGATATAGTTTACACACCGGTCATACTTGTTATTATATAATCACTTTTAAATGAATTTATTGTAATTTATTAGATCTGAATCATATGAATCAAGATTATCAAATTGGCTGCCATAAATATTTTTTTCATAATATTTATCTGAAGATTATTGCTGGTAATAATTATTTTAAAATTTAAATAAGAAATATATGATAGTAAGTGATCAATGAAATATTGAAAAATGCTGCTGAATCAAGTATTCAATATAGACAATTGGAGTTGTTTCATAATCAATTAAGTTGTAAGATTAGGCTATCCTTAACCTTCAATCAATATACATTGAGGATTGACTAAATTGAACAACTATACAATATAAATCCGCTTAATCCCATACAAGGTCACTGTGATAAAGAAAGACACACACATTTGAAAAAGTTGCATAAGAAATAAGAGTAGTTTGTTAAAAAAAAAAAGGTTCATTCAATACACAATATTTCATTGATCAATTCTATGTGTTTATCTTTTTACTTAGCAACCTAAGGAGCAAGAATGATTTATAAAATAGAATGACTCACTTGTGACCCAAGCTTTATAGGATGCTAGGATTTATTATATATAAAATTATTTCAATATTAATATATCGTATGTAACAAATGTTACTATGATAATTGGATAATTATTCATTGAATCTTAATTTTTTTATCAAGACTTAATAAATTGTCTTCAATAATGATTTTAAACAGATTTTAATTGTTGATTTACTTGGGGCACTTGCATTAATTTGAAAAGAAAATTGTTGAATGACTATCGTAAGATCAATACAGATATTCAAATTAATTTTAAGAAACTGTTAAAGCATAATGGCAAATAAAAAAAAAATTTAATTTTAAATAATTATCAGATTAATGGTGAATATTTATATAATAACATTGACAATAGAAACTAATAAGGTGAAGACTGACCAGTCTGTGCGATTCAGAAAGGTTTTGAATAATATCGAATTATGGCAATAATTTGGTTATATTAAAGAAAAAAAAATTAAATTACCTATTTTTATTGTAGTTACTATCTATAATTTATTGTAGTTAATATCTATATTTCCTGAGCATAACTTTTTAAACCTTCTTTTCTTTCTTACTTAACTTTTAATAATTACTCATAACTTATTTATGAGCATTTATTATAATTGCTGATTTTTTAGTTTTGGGTATGCATTTTTTAATTCATTGATTCATTCATTGTATCATTGATATACGGCAGCATATCTGAGTTATTTTATTGTTTATTATAATATTCATTGATGCATATTTATTCGTTTCTTATGGCTGAAAAATCCAACGCCTGATCGTTATTTAAACATATTATTTTTGTTTCATTTGCTTCAATGACATTATCTTTTGACACAGAACTTATGAATGTGGCATAAGAATTAAGGAATTGGGACGAGTATAGGCAATAGTAATAAAATGAGCACAGGCGATTTAATTTGAATGGATGAAATATAGTTTCCATGAGAAACTTATAACATAAATTCAAGGATTGCTTATGAACAAAACCATTGCTAGTGGAAATAATATTTGATGAATATTTCTTAATAATTTACATAATGATGGAATATGTACTATATGACTAAAGTAGGAGAAAAATATAAATTTTAAACCTATAAATGTCTACCTAGTTGTTTTCAGAACTTTACAAATATAAATTAGAAATAATTCAGTAATTTATTATATCTACAGTATTTTCTTTTTTCTTTTTTAGAATAAGAAATACAATATTAATTTTTATTACATTCTATAATTGATATGGTATCGGATGATAATATTAATGCCAATGAATAATGTTTCCAAAAATGTGAAAATACCTTAACCATATTCTCGACAGCATCCAACACCCCCGCGGTGAGAGGTTGGATATCATGGCCCTCTGTAGTGCAAGGCATCTCTCTTCAGACTGATCTATTTTGCAGCACAAGACCCACTGCCAATTGCATTGAGCAGCCTGCCTTTATATCTCTTGTTTATCTACTTACTCGTCAGTCTTTAACTGATAATAACAAAGAACTAAAGTGGGTTATTAAGTACATAAAAGTTTGTTTTGTTGATCAATATATTTCCAGATAAGTAACATATGGTATTTTATGTTTTGTCCATCAATTCATTAATTAACTTTGTCTAGTCTATTTTCTTTTGAATTTTTCATTTTATTTTTTAGTGTGTGTAGTAAAATATTAATTTTTTATACTACAAAAAAGTTTTTTTTTCAATAATACTGGAAGACATAAAAGGCAAAACAACTTCTTAAATATAAATTTTTTAAAATTCAATTTATATTTTCGATTTGTATCGGAAATATGAACGATCAATAAAAAAATAACATTTGGTATCTCAAAAACGAAAAGGCTCAAAAATATTACATTCTTCCAATATAATTTTGACATAAATACAATGAAGCAGAGTAAACTCTAAAATAATAACAATATATTTTAAAATTTTCTTACTAGGTAAAAGATTTTTTTAACTATAGAAACACAAACAAAAATCACTGGTTTGAAAAAAACATAAATATTTAAAAGGCAAGAAATGACAATTTATAGCAGCACCTTTCACAAATAAATCATATTGAAAGATATGTGTTTATCCAAAGTAAAATTCTGAATTATTACAGAACAAACATAAATAAAAAAAAATTGTTGCAAGGTTAACTAAATTTCTCTTCACTGTTTTTTATTCACAAAAAAAGTGAAGCAGGAAAAATAAAATTAACTATTAAATTTGATTAATTTTTAAATAAAATTCATGAGATGCTAAGATTATTGAAAATAAACACAATCTCTCAATGACTACCTATTAATATCATACTACTTTATTTTTTAACAAGTTACATAAATTATTTAGAAAGGATTTTATTTTACCTTAATCATCAACAAATATATTATAAATAAATATATCTATAAAATAAATTGTAATTTTACAGCTAATGGCTCTTTTTTAAAACCAATAAAGGTCAAGTCTATAAATAAGTAATAGCACAACAAATAATATTTTATTGCTTACTCTAGTATACAATTTTTAGAGCTTTAAAAACTTGAAACATGACCATATAAATTTCATTTTCGAATAATAAATCTCATATACAAATTTTTTTTCACGATAAATAAAATAATACATTTCTACAACCGTAATTTAATTTATTTTTATGTACTTATGTGCTTTGCACTAACGAAATAAATTTACAAACAAAAAGTTGCCAAAGGCCCATGGCACAGTAAAAAAAAGTTAATAATAATAAAATAACAATAATAAAAAATTAAACCAGTCTTAAAAACAGTGGCTGTTATAGCTTCATCCGAAGGTAGGGCCAGTAATTTCAACAGTTTTTACAGCTCACTGAAACTATACATACATAATATCTATACTATAAGATCGTGAAATTTCTTGTTTTATTTTTTCAGATCACCCATTAAAACACCATCTAAAATGGATTTACAGACTGGTAGTAGATTGGTCAAGAGTATCTACTGAGGCGGTTCTATGTCCAACTTTAATTTCATCACGAAGGCTAAGTAAAATCTTTCTTATGTCTTTGTTTTGTGGCGGTAAAAGAAGAAGAGCTTCTTGTATATCCTTCTCTGCTTCTTCATAATTCCTACATTAGAAAAAGGAGCAAATTAATTCCACCAATCATCACTTGCTTTTTTAAATAGCAATGAATTATTCAAATTATTTGAAATAAATTAAGAGTCAGTTATAAAAATATGAACAGAATAAAAAAAAAGATTTAAAAAATATTTAAGAAGAAAATCGATTAATGAAAATTTATTTCTAAAACTCAAAATGTTGTCTAACCGGTAGGTTAAACCCTCCTCCCCCCCCCCTCCCGTTGTCAGCACCCAACCCAGTTTTCGTCACCCACTGCAGTTATTGAAGAATATTAAGCATTGGAATCCCTCCTGTGCTCACTTTTTTTTAGCATCTCCCACTATTTGTTTAATATTATAGGTTGCAAAAATCGCTTAAGATTAGAAATCTGATAGGTGTCGCCCAAGAAGAATGTGTTTTGTATTTTTGTCAAGAAATACACATTCCTGCACAATATCATTGTAGTTCTTTCATTCTGAAGGCAGTCAGATTTAATTCTTTAGGTTTTTGAAAATTGGGTAAGGGGTGCTGAAAACTGGTACTTCAGAGTGACGAAAACTGGAGCATAGGGATAATTTTTACATTTTTCCGTTACTATAAATAAAATAAATGAAAGACACTGTTTCACACATATATATATTTTAAAGTTAGAGATCTTTACGGACTTAACAGAACAGAAATTGTTAAACCAAGTACCCATGCGATTGAAAACGAGACAAACACATTTTAAATTTTCCCTAATTGTGCCTAAATCAGTTGATTTTATCCTATAATATCTTAAACTCCTAATCAAGAGTAGGAAGCACTCATTATCTATACTAGAAATATATAACTTTGTTGTAATCCCTTTATAATGCATTACACTGCTATCTCATTGATACGAACTTGGGTAGTCTGAACACTCCAATTATCCAAACTTATAAAAAATAAATAAAGTAAAAATAATAAATAAGATGAAGGAATGGAGGGGTCAATGGAAAGTTTTTTTCAGGGGGAAAAAAAGAAGACACAACAGAACAAATTTTAAGCAAAAAATATACATTTTCCAAGTTGAATTTTTAGCTCTAATACACACACATACTCTTAACTTAAGAAAGGCATTTCCTTTTTATTCCAGAAGAAAAGTGGAATGAAAACTAATAGGGTGCTTCTAAAAAATATCCATAGAACAAATTGAATATACACATAAAATGAAAAAGGGTAAAATTAATTCTTTAAAAACAAAGTACTGAAGAATTATTTGTGATATAAGTATATGAATTGGAGCAAATAAATAAGCTAAGGAGAAAATATTAATAAAAGATAAACAGAAAAATCAACTTATAAATGTTAAAACTGCCAGGTATTTGACATATCTGTGTTTATTTCATGAATTCCAGAAAGCTTAAGACAAGAAATATCAATAAATTATTTGAACAATTAAGAATTTTAAACCATGGGAATCTAAATATTATTTTTATATCCAGGTTTAAGTTAATTAGTCAATCCGGTTATTATAAAAACTAAAATATAATATTAGGACTATAGTGGAGCGCCTAAATAAAAAAATATATAATTTTAAACAAAATATTTATTTATAACAAAAAACAAACAAATAGTTAAATGGAAGTGAATAGATGAATGGTGAGAGGTTAGGGAAGACTGCAAGCAGATAATCTGGAATAGTGGAGTAAGATAGGGGACTGGAAGTTTGGGCCAAATACCTGCTGCTCAATGTCACTTTCCTCAATGGCTGTTTAAAAAAAAAAACATTCTAACTCAAAGTTTAGAAATGAAATGAATAAGTGATATAAATAAGAAAAGTAGATGCAACAGATTTGAAGGGTCAAGTGGCTAAGGACATTTTTTTTTTTAAATTGAGATTAAGTGATATATTTTTAATATTTTATATTTCCAGTCACACAAATTAAATAGTTAGCTTAGAATTGGGTGAATAAAGATATTAAGTGAAGAAACATGTCTGGGTAGTTGTTGATACAGCTAATAAGGCCACTTATAACCTTCATTAATAGACAAGTTTCCTCTTTATTAGCAAAGCCATTAATTCAATCATCAGTCTAAGATTTTAACATACAAATTTTGATAAACACCTATTGATTTTTTTTTCAGAGTTTTCCTAAAAGAAGTGACAAGGAAAGGTACTTTTCATAAAAAAAAAAATATAACATCCCAAGCATATAACTATATTAAGTATGCAATGCCAGATTTTTTTTTTTTTTTCGTTTTCAACCTATGCTATTAACATATACACACATACTGAATATTTTGTGAGTCTTGGTTATTTGGACTCACAGGACATTGAAACATGAATTTCTATAAAAAAATTGGATTGAGAATTTTTCTTGAAAAGAATAATTTTCGTTACTAAATATTACAAAGGTAAGCTCAAGTAAAAACAGATTATTTTCTCAACCGAATCAACACATTATCAAAGACCAGAAGTTGCTCATTTTGATTGATTAGACTGGATTAAAATGATCTTCAAACGATGTCTAAAGTAACAGGTCTAAGGGAATACTTCATCTACAATATTGGCAGGATTCCATCATCCACAGCATTATATTAAGCCTCTGTTCTGATATAATATTAGACAATTCATGGATTTATCGATCTAGTGTTCTAAATAAAAGGTGAGATACCAAGGAACAAGCAATTTGTTGGGTACCAATCTATTCTAGACAGAGGTAAGATAAAATTTGTTTTGAATTTATTCCTGACTCATAAATAAATTCAATCCCATTAGGCCATAATCAATGGGACAACCATAGAGGTATACTTAGGTTATTAATAATACAACTTATTCAATTGACATTTCTATTTTGTTTTTTTTAATTTTAATAAAAGTTTTTAAATTTTTTAGATTCAGAAAAAAATTACATTTTTAAAAATAATATATATTACCTTAAATCTATTCTGGCTTTAGCTCTTGCATAGTATGCTTCATAACAATCAGGTTTTTGTTTTAATACTTGTGTAGCCAATTCAATAGCTTCTATAGGTTTCTGAAAATAATAATAAAAAACAATATAAAAACCGTGCTATCTTTCCAGATACAATTAACTGAAAACACAACATATTAATATTATCTTACATTCATTTTTCGTTTACACCGTGAATGATTCAGCAGGAAATTTAAACGAAGTTGCCTAAATGTTGAGTCAAGAGTTTCCAGTGGTGGAAATTTGTTTAGAGCATAGCTGTATCGATGAGCTGCCTCTTGAAGTCTATTTTTTCGGTATAGGACATTTCCATCTTCAAGGAGCTTGTTGAGCAGGACAATTCTGAAAATATTTAATTTATTATGATAAAAGGAATAAATAACAACATAAAATTATACTTTGACAATTCGTTACAATATGGCATGACATTTATAATAGTTTTTCATAAAATCTTCAAATTTTTCTAAGGGTACATATTACCAAATAAAGTTTATAATATCGAGGAAAATATATTTTTAACCTAAAAAAAACATATTAATTGTTGTTTATTATATAATTTACCTGTGGATAGTCAAAACTAAAAATTATTCAAATGTTAAAACATTTTTGTCTTATTTTATCAAAAGCTTAATGTCCACAGCTCACAGTGGACAATAATTATATCAATGTAATATAGTGTATTTTGGCTTTTTATTTATTTCTAATATTATTTATTTTTTCTTTAGATTTGTTTTCTTTTATATTTGACTATTGAAAAAGAATATTATAATTTTTATAATATGACATGTTAATTTTAAAGAAAAAAAAATTTTAATACTGATATAAAATGTTTTTTGGTTGATTATATAGTCATTTAGCCAGTAAACGTATAATTCATTTATGTTACATTTATAAATTTCTATTTTATTATTATTATTATGTGCTGATATATGATTTTACATATATAGTTATGATAATTGTTTTTTATATTGTAGATGTAATTTTCGACTTTAAAATGTGAAAAATCGTCTGAAACGTTGTCGAGATGCATCAATGAAATAAAGGTTTTAATAAAGTGTATAAGGGTTAAAAAATATATTTTCCTCGATATTATAAACTTTATTTTCACTTATAACAAAAATATTAAGACTAAAAAAAAAAGATTATAAGCTTACATCACATCATTTTTGCCTGAAGCAAGAGTCCATGTTGTAGGACCAAGTTTAGCTCCTCGTTTAAGGAAACTCTGCACTACCGAAAGATTTCTGCACATTATAGCTCTATCAAGAGGTCTCACCCCATTCATGTCAACATGTTCTAACATTGCACCTCTTTCCAGTAAAAGCTAGTCAACGTAAAAATAAGATTAGATCATTAAATGTTTCAGAATTGTTAAATCCAAAGAATATGTGATTTTTTAGAGAATTACCTGAACGATTGCTGGATTACCCTGTGTTGCCGCATGATCCAGAGGAACTTTCCCAGACTTGTCAACTTGATTAACCTCAGCTCCTCGATCGAGGAGGCATTGGACAGCTTGAAGTTTTCCTTTCTGGCATGCCCATCCCAAGGAAGAAGTGCCTTCTTCATCGGTCCTTCCAATATCAGCACCTGATTTATATTTAATTATTAAAACTTGGTGTAAGTATACTTGTAGTGTAGGTAAGGGTAGCACTAGGGATGGTCAAACCTTAAAGCTGTGGTTAACCTTATAATAGCAGTTTTTCAGTTCTACTACCATTGATAATACCTAGTTTAGAAGTTTATAAATATCTTAAATAGAAATTCTATACATTAATTGGATCTATTTATAATATGTCATTGTTATATAGAAAATAGGAAAAAATCTAGGTCTATGAGATCCACAGAATGGTTTTCTTCAATTTATTTTCAGCATTCCAAGAGTTATCCACATTTCAAAATACAGAGTTGAGTTATTTTTCCAGATAATTTTTATTGCTAGATAAAAAAAAATAATAATAATAAAAAGCCCGTACTACTCTACCACAATCCATGAAGGGTCTTGGCTTTAGCATTATTCAATATAATTTGGGATTTTCCATATTAATGCAATTAATACACTTCAAATAGGGTTGCTTGGTGTACGGAGGGCTGTCCAGAAGACTGGTGAGACTGACAAGACTTATGAATTGCTTCTTAAGATTCATCTTTGAGATTCCTAGGCATTCTCATGTTTCCTACTGGCACACTGAGTTGAAGCTTTATCCTAGTTCTGGACAATAATTCCTTCGTGGTGTTTTCTTTTTCCAAGTCCTCAGAACCAATAACCCTCCCTAAATCTTAGAACTCTTTAGTTTATGCTCATCTGTCCACTTTCTCAATACCAGATCTCAGTCTATAGAGTTATATATCCCCTCTCATAAATCCTTCTCATTTTATTTTTATTTATTTACTTTTTTTTTCTCTCTCTCAGTATTTTCTGTATATATTTGTATTTTCCTATCTATTTTTTGAATATGTTTCCTTAGTATTTTTTGTATACATTTGTTTCATATCTACATGCCAGACTAATGTACATATTTTTTTAACTCTGCTGTTGTTCCAAGGAGTCTTCAGTCCCAGAATAAAAATTTATTTTTCATTTAATTTAAAAAATATTTGAACATGTTCAGTATACTTTTGCAGGTGCCTTAACTTACTCAACTGGTTACTTTATATGATTTTTTTTTTCTCCCTTTCCTCGCCTTGTCGGTGGAGAGGATGGGGTACTCCCCCATATAACTGTGGTATTAAATTACTCATTTAATACCACAGTTATATGCCACCCGAACTCATAATTATTTTATTATGTTATCTTTAGTTAATCAGGTTGCTGTGCAACTTGTGTTTGGCACACACGTTATCCCACTCGACCACCCTGCCTTATAGAATGAGAAAGTGAGGTACTGTAATACACTATGGACATATCCTTTGACCTTAATCAATATAAATTTCAGATTTTGTAGGATAGTGTTGTTTCCATCTTATTATTCTAGTCAATCTCAGTTTGAAATATTTACATAATCCATTATTTTCCCTTATACATTTTTTGCACATTATTTTCATTTCTATTAGTTTTTATTTCATAGATCAGTTTTAGATCAAATTTAGATTTTCAAAGTATGCAATACGGTAATGATTAGGAAAATTAAGATTGTCTAATTCACTAATTTCTTTTTTTTTTTTTTGCACACTTACATTCTTCAACAAGAGTGTCAAGAAGAGTAAGCAATTCTCAGCGTTCTTTGTATTTTTACATTAGGAGAAAAAAACATGAAAAACAAAAAACCATCACATTGCTTAAACGGTGAATGAAGAAATAAATTATGAAGAATCTAAGGCATTTATTGTCAATAGCATTATTGATTTCTTTGGTCTTATCCTAAATGTTTGACTATAATTTCTTTGTATTTTTTTTTCCTCTTCTAAAGTACCTAGATCTTCAAATCTTTTCCAAACTCATCATGAAAAATTTATGGTCTAACTCAGTGAGTCATAAATAATAAATACCTAAACTCCTTTACATGTTCGAATATATTTCCTTCCATAGCTACAACACTTAAAAGTGTTGTCATTTTTGCTGCTAATTATGTACTTTGTTTTATCAGGTATGTATACTAGTTAGTTTTAGTTTCTTCTTAAGATAATATTGAGGAGGTTTTGGAATTGGTGTTAACAATTAAAATAATAATTTGGACTAACCTTTATCGAGTAAGAGATCAATAAGAGCAACATGGCCTTCAGTTGCAGCTATCATCAAGGCTGTCTTTCCCTGTAGGTCAGTCTGTTCTAGTGGGGCTTGCAGCTGAAGAAGCCTCTCAGCGGTACCCCAATGTCCTTCCTTCACCGTCAGCATGAGTGGAGCCATTTTCTACAATAATAAATTTAACTTAAAGTGAGTTACATAGTTAAGACAGTTATATATGAAGTTATTGATAATTTAAAAAAAAAAAAAACAAAGGTATGTGCTTTATACCACAGGATAGAAGTGAAAACTTCAACAAGGCAAGATTAATAATATGAAATATAAATTATAAATAATAGCTCATTATAAAGAGGATCAAATGCTAAACATTTCTCTAGCTTACAGTACGCAGGGCCGCTTTTTAGTTTCTGAAATATTTAATACCATATATCTTCCATAAAACTCTTTTGTCATTTTTTTCTCATTTTCAATACTGTTTTTTTCCTTTTCGCCGTTCTTACACGACGTTGTGTTAAGATACAATTTTAAATAATAGGCCATTACAGAGAGAGTGAAATGCTGAACAATTCTCTCACTTACAGTATACAGGCCAGATTTTTGGTTTTTGAGATATTTTAATCCATATCTTCCATAAAACTCATTATCATTTGGTTATCAACACTATTTTTTCCTTTTTACTTCTCTAATATGGTTTTGTTTTAAGATACAATTTTGAATAATAGGCCATTACAGAGAGGATGAAATGCTAAATAATTCCTTAACTTACAGTATACAGGCCAGATTTTTAATTTCTGAGATATTTTCATATCCTCCATAAAACTCGTTATCATTTGGTTATCGATACAGTTTTTTCCTTTTTGTCCCTCTAATATGGTGTCGAATTAAGAAACAATTTTGAATAATAGTTGATTACAGATGAACTATTAGTATGAAATGATGGACATTTCCCTTGCTAACAATATGTAGGTTCGATTTTTAGTTTTTGAGATATTTTAATCCATATGTAAAAATACTTCAATTAGTCAACTCCAACCAAGTTTACCTGAGAGTTACATATTGGAAATTCGACGGCTCAATCTAATTCACTCTCCACAAAAAGTGCAAAATGCACCTAAACAAATTTTCTCTTAAAAAAATAATCATAATTAAAAACAACACCGGTTATGCTCTGTCATGTAAATTGCTTAGAAAATACTTTTCCAATTGTTTTATTATTATTATTTTTTTTAATATTTTGCTTTTTATGACTCATTTTTATACTAAACTACTACAAACAGCCTGTAGAAATTATGTTTTAAATTCAGAGGAATAGATAAACAAAAATTACTTATACTTGATAAGAGAATTGGTAAATAAATCAAAATATGATTTTTTTTTTGGTCCTCTCCTTCCTCGCTTTTAAGGCTATACAGGGTGTTCTTTCGCTTTTCGGGATTAGGTCGAGGGGGTGTGAGCAGGGATTTAAAAGACTCCCCCGGCACTGGAACGCGAACTCGTGACTATTTTAAATCCATTGTCTCATATATCAGGCTGCTGGGCAACGGCGGTGCTGTGCACACACGTTATTCCGTTCGGCCACCCCGCCCTAATCAAAATATGACAGAGCTGACAAGTATTGATAGCTTATGGTAATATACCCAATCTCATATTATTTCCATAAAACAAGGTTACTTATTAGAATTGCTGACTCAATATGAGAGTATCATTTTTTTTTATCATTGTTAGAAATAAGAGGAAACAATTTGAATCATTGTTTTACAGGTACTATATGCGTGTTATTAAATTTGTGTTAAGCATTAATCTAATAGTTTTACTAGTAATGCAATAAATTAATAAAAGAAATATTTTTTGTTAATTATTCTTCAATTAAATTTTTGTTTCTAAGTGCAAAACTAAGGAAAGTATTGAGAATCTGACAAATATACAAGAAGTATATAGCAAACAAATTAGGGCCTATACTTGACATTAATTCTGTTCTTCACACAGGTGACCATAAAAGATTTAAAAAATAAAGATTTGAAGAAGTAATTCTCTTTTCTCATAATTTAGCAAACCCAGAATGAATCATATACTTGAGAGGATACCAACCTTTCTGTTTACGGCAGACCTATTGGCTCCTCTGCCGACTAGTGCTGAACAAACAGCTGTACAACCATTTGCAGCAGCAGCACATAGAGCAGTTTCCCCAGACAAGCTGTCCAATGAATCTGGTTTTACTTCAGGTAAATCCAGCAAGTATTCCACAATCTGAAAATTAAAAAAAATACTACTTAATTACAAGAGTTAATTGAAAATACAGGGAATGTAGGTTGATTAACCTGAGTGATTGATATTATAATAGAGTGATAATCATATTTAGTTAATTTTCCAGCACTATTTTTTTTTAAAGGCACTCAGTATAATTATATAAGGTGTTTTTAGGAATGAATTCATTATTTTTCATTTATTTATGTGATTACATAAATAAAAACCTGTACCACTAACAACCCATGGGCTCAGGCCGAGGTGATGGAGGTGATCATGCTCAATCGCCAGGTTTTCCTGCTTAATTAATTATATTACGTAAATAAATAATAATAATAATAATAATGATTACATAAACAAATGAAAGGCAATTCATTAAGAGTATAAGAATGATAATCGGTTCTGTTCTACAAGAATTTTTGCTCTTAAACTTCATTTATTTATTTTATTTTTATTTTTTTTATATATGTTTTAATTTTTACTAAGATATAATAAATAAATTTTTATTTCTTCATCTTTTTCTTCTTACTCTATCTGTTTTAATTGGTTCTCATCCATCAGAGGAATATATTTTTCATTTACTGTTTTCCCTCCTATTTTTTTTTTTTTTAAAGCTAAGTAGCAATTATTTTGTTTTATTTCTTATTAGTATTGTATGTAGTTCTAAGTATTTTGTAAATAGTTTCATTATTTGATTTTCCATATATTATTAGTATACTTAAGTTGTATTAATTAATGTAATAGTTCTGGCCAGAAGTAATTTTTTTTTTCTGTAACATTATGTTATTCTTAAGGACTTTATTATAAAGATTATTTCACAAATCTGCAATAATTGTATTTATTTTACCTATTTATTATTATAATAATTATAATTTCTTTTTTTTTAAGGAAGGAGAGATAAAGCAAAAGTTGGAGCAGGGAGTGGTATGCATCATCTTAAGTGGATATTATGTTTGTATGAACATCTGTCTGACAGCTATTATATAGCAAATAAAAGTTAATCTTGCCAGTTCTGGGCATAATTCTAAACAGTTACTTATGTTCTCTAAATATAGGCATAAACTAAAGAACTTATAGAGGTTGAACATGGTAAAACAGAACAATTTTAGAATAATCTAGATACTAAATGTATTGGAAGAGTCTAGATATGATATGCATACGATAAGAATTAAGATCAATTAATAATTATTTAAATATACAATAATATACAATATCAAAAAATATACAATATACATAAAAATATACAATATCAAAACCTAAAAAAATCTTACTTCAACATGTCCTTGTGCAGCAGCAGCAACTAATGATTGTTGCAATGCTTCACAGAGGTCTACTTCAAGCTTTACGTTTTCTAGCATCCAATCACTGGAGATCAAATAAGATACAATATTCAGATGACCATTTCTTGCAGCATGAACGAGAGCACATCTGTAAAATATGAAATTATCTAACAGAATTCTCTAAATATTTATTAACAAATTTTTATTAAGTTATTAAATTTAGTGGTTCTCATTATTAAAGGTCACAATAATTTCAAATAGAATTATTTACTAATCTAAGAACATTACAAACAAGCAAGTGGAGGATTTGAATAGTAATCTGTAAAATTAACTAATTAAATTATTTAGTAATAAGGAATTTAGGAAAATTACCTGCCAGCAGTATCAGTACGGCCGAGGATAGCACCAGCAGAAACAAGCTGTACTACTACTTGCATATGACCTTTAATGGCAGCAAGAGATAAAGGGGTACAGCCCTGGCTATTAGTTGAGTTTACATCAGCTCCGAACTCAAGGAGTAGTGATACCATATCTACCACACCTTCGTGAGCAAAAAGGCACAGTGCACTAGCATTTCCAAGGAGATCAGTCTTGTGATCAGGGTTAGCTCCTGCCAATAATAACAATCGGGAAACCTGAAAAGAAGGAAAGAATTGAAAAAATAATCCTTCAACAAAGATTCCTTAAATATTCACATTTTATTTGAAAATTTAAATTACCAGAATATTTGGGCTATATATATTTCTTAAACAAGAAACAGCAACTGAAACATCTGCAGAGACGGTAGCAACCCAATGAGCTTGAAGATCCCGTGATGGGTTCCTTTGGAGAGTCATGTTCTTATAGATATGAGCTTTTAGTATGTGATGGCCTAATTCAAGCGTTTTTTCTGCATCTAAAGGGGCTTGGAGTCGGGATAGCCTGAACACAATCCCGGCATGACCAACTCTGCAATATAAACAAGTATTTAGAAATATATCGTACTTTTATGACTTTAATGAAATAAAATTTGGATATAAGAATTATTAATATTTACCTGAGATCAATAAGAAATTTGTTGCTTTCTCCTTCATCTCTTCTAATTAGCCACTCCCTGAAGGAGGGATGAAAAAACATGTAAGTGTTGTCCATTCGCTTAACAAGAACTCCAGATAACATCTAAAATCAAAATGATACATATAATCAAGCACTAAAATAATAATCAACTTAGACAAATAGTTAAAATATTAGTTAGTTAGACTAGTTAGACAAATACATAAAATATTTTATCTTTTAGCTTACCTTGAATCTTTCCAGGAAATCTTCCCAAGACAAAAAGTCAGTAGTATTTAGGGCATTAACGGAATAATAAATTTCAAGAAGAGTTAAAGGGTATAATGCAGCCAGGCAAACACTGATAATTGGCGAAACCTGTTTAGTAAAAATAATAAATAAATAAAGATTACTCGTATTTGAAAGTTTTTTTAGGAGTATTTGACAAATATAATTAAATCATAAAAAAATATGTAAAAAATCATTGAAAAGAAGGTACGAGAAAATTAAATTTATAACCAGTGCAGTTCCAACTATGCTTCAGCTTATCAAGCAAATTTGATGTTTTCATTTGACTGAAATGACTTAATTTATTAGTTTTATAATTGATTTAAAAAATACTGACTTTAGCTTCATTAGAGTATTTTTTGGATTACTAGTAATAATATGTAACTAGTAATAATAATATACTAGTAATAAAATAAATAATATATATAACTGAGAAAATAATTGAGATTGTATTACTGAGATGATGAGATTTTCAATTAGTGTGAATATTATTACAATTAATGAATAAAATGTGATATTTTCTGTAAAATTTAAGGATTATAATTCCAAATACCCATCTCTATTTTTCAATTTTTATTTATTTGTTTTTAATTAACAGCTTTGGTATAAATTATCATATGGAGAATGAGTGAATTATTTCACATCCGATATGACTGCCTTTGAAGATATTCATTCACTTCATAATAACTTAGGAGGGTTACTTGTTTATTTCCTCAATTAAAGTTTTTAGATGACATAATCATAAAATAGATAATTATATTAGAAAAATATCAATTTAAAAATAAAAAATTTTCTATTCGCTAGCATTCTATTATTGTTCACGGTACAACCTTATAATAATGAGAATTTAAGTTTTCCTGAAACCTTCCAAGACAGGAGATTCCTTATAATTATCAAAAATATTGTAGATGATTAATCAATGATAATAAATTAACCAGGTCAACAATTAGCCAGCTAATGGCTAACGTTAAGTTACATTGGAAATGCAACAATTTAGATCTTTATATTGCAATCTATATAATAATAATAAGGCTTAGCGAACCCGAAGGTTCGATGCCGATACCACCAATCGATGTCGACATTCTTACATCCACCAGGTTCCGTCTAAACCCAACCCCGCCAAATCAGCCTTAACGCAATCTACCCACCTTTGCTTTGGTCTACCCCTCTGATGCTAGTCAGTCGGTACAGCGCATATTAGCTTTTTAGGAATTCTTTCATTACTGAGCCCAGCGATTTTAAATGCCCATTTTATTCGTCTCAACTTAATCACCTCAATTATATTAACCAAATACCGTTCAAACAATTCAGCGCTGTGTAACCGCCTAAATTCTCTGGTTGACTCATCCTTTTTTGGTCCGAATATTCTGCGCAATACTTTATTTTCAATAACTTTAAGCGGTTATTCATCACTTAATCTAAGCAGCCACGTTTCACATCCATAAAGAACTGTTGGTAAGATAATCGTTTTGTAAATTCTAATTTTTAAATTTCGGAACAGGAGGCGAGAACTTAGTAATTTTGACAAAGAAAAATAACAATAAATAGTTTTATTGTTTCCATGTCTTCGCTTAATAGTACCAAATCAGTATACCCAAGCACGGATATTGTTCCACCCAGGTTCAAACCTTTTTTGGTATGTATCACCTCTCTAATGGCATGTTCTAATGCCAGATTAAATAGCACAGGTGAAAGAGAATCACCTTGTTTTAATCCCGAACAAACCTCGAATTTCTTGGATAAATAGTAATCGATTCTAACTTTATTGAGTGTTTCCGTCAAGCATATCCTCACCAGATTCACTAATTTTTTGGGGATCCCCTGCTCGATTAGAATATTATATAGTTTCTGGCAGTCAATAGAATCGTAAGCCTTTTTGAAATCAATATACAGCTGGTGAACAACACTGTTGTATTCTAATTTTTTCTCTAATATTAGTCGTAACGAAAATATTTGATCAATAGTCGAACAGTTCCTCCTAAATCCACATTGGTAATCTCTAATAATTTCCTCGGCATATTCTGTGATTCGATTAGTTAAGATTAACATGAATATTTTATAACATACCGGGAGGAGTGAAATTCCTCGATAGTTATTACAATCCGTCCTCGGACCCTTTTTGTGAATCGGAATAAGAATGGATTCTTTCCATTCTTCAGGCAATTTCTCATTCTCCCAGATCTTTTTAACTGAAAAATGTATTTTATAAACTCTCCAGCTTCTTCGCATGCCTTAATTAGTTCACTAGGAATATCATCAGTCCCCGCTGCTTAATAAGATTTTATTTTTACAATAGCTATTTCAACTTCCTCTTTACTTCGTTCTTCTATTAATGGTTCGGCATTCTGGTACTCTGAAGGAGGACACAGATCATTATTTCTCATATTTAAAATATTGTCAAAGTGTTTCTTAAACTTACTCAATATGTCTACAGGGTCGGTGAGGATATTATTATTTTCATCCCTGATTCCAGTCGTTACGGGTCCTAAAAATTTACATGATTTATTTATACTTTTGTACATGTCTCTTACGTTGTTTTCGATTCTATGTTTTTCTATATCTATTATTTTATCTTTCAGATACTCCCTATTTTTATTTTTGAACAATTTAGTAGTTTCATTCTTTAAGGCCCGGAAATATTCAAAATTGTTTTCACTATGATTATTTAGAGTTTTTATTTTAGCTGCTTTTCTTTTTCCGCACATGTTTAAGCAATCTTCATCAAATCACGGTTTGTTATTTTTATTTTCCTTCTTTATAAGACACAAGTTACCGGCTTCTTTAATATTATCCCTGATACCTACCCATAATTTATCTTTATCATCGCAGTCCTCTTCAAAAGGTTCTAAAGCTTCAAACCTATTCTTAAGTTCAAGCTCGAATTGAGTTCTAATTGATAGATTTTTTAATTTTTCCAAATTAAAATTCCCGGAATCGCAACGATTTTCTTTACTCTTTTTTATATTAAGTTTTTGTCAAAGTTTTGCTATTACTAATTCATGATCTGACCCACATTCTGCCCCACGATAAGTCCTTACCTTAATTATACTAGTTTGCCACTTATGTTGTATCAAGACGTGATCGATTTGATTTTGTGTTTGCAAATCTGGTGATGTCCAAGTATATTTGTGAATATCCTTACGTTTAACCGTAGTACTTTTAATTATCAGATTTTTCGAGATGGCAAAATTTATTAGTCAAATTCCATTATCATTACTATATTCGTGCAAACTTTCTTTACCGATCGTTGGAAAATTAACTTCTTCCCTTCCCACCTTTGAGTTAGCGTCCCCTAAAATTATTTTCATGAATCTCAGCGGTGGTTTGTCATATACCCATTCCAGTTTATCATAAAATTCGCATTCGCATTTGGCTTCATCTTTACTGTCTTCGGTTGGACAGTGTATGTTTATCAACGCAATTTTAAACCAACGCCCCTATTGCAAAGTATATACATATTAAAATTGACTAATCATTTGAATAATTGATAGATACAATTGAATCAATACTTAAATGTAATTGAATTTTGAATTACCTTTTCATAAGATTTAGTTGTTGGAAAGCGAAGATTGAAATGAAGTAGATATATCTGTGCCAGGCTGACTGGAAGGACTTTATAACTTGTTGACTTGGCAACGAGATGACCCCTCTCGATGAGATCTAATGACAGCTTAGCAAAGAGCATTGAGCCCTTGGCTAAACCAGCAAGGTGTTGACAGAGGCGGAATTGACCTGCAGCCCCAGATATTATGTTACTTTGTATACTTGGGCTGTGGCTCACTCTGTAATTCATGTAGTCGAGGAGATCTTTTTGGAGAGTTTCACTCTGAGAGCTGGTCACATCCAGACTGAAATAAAATGCTTTATTTGGTTTTGTACTTTTTGATGAAATGCAATGAAAGGATCATTCTTTTAGAGACAACTTATCACCTACCTAAGGCGCTGAAAAGGCATTGTTGGCATCACTTCATCCATGTGGGTGCGAACTGTTAAAACAAATTTCAGCCATTGTGGAGCAGCATGGGCATGTCGTGCTATGAATGCTGCTATGGTATCCCCATGATCTGGTCGATGGTATTCTGCCTCACACAGTCCATCAACGAGTATAACAGCCCGTCCACTGATCTTGCCAACACGTCTTAAAGCACATAACGGTTCCATTACCCCACGTCTCCATGCTCCAGCTGGGTCAACTATACATTCCTTCAAGGATAGATATGCCTAAAATAAAATCAAATGGTAAAAAACAATTAAAGGCAAAGACTCATTATTTAATTAATTTTTACTTTCACTTACCTATATATGAAATATAAAGTAATGGAAAGTATTGTGATTGTGAAAATTTTTGAATCTGAGTTTTCAATGGAAAAACAGTCTTTAATATAATGTAGGTTTTATTCTCATTGAAGTTCTCCAACTGGGCTTAAATAGCTAATTTTCAATATTTCTTATTCTAAAGTACCTTTCATTTTTTTATTTTTAAATAATTAACCATTTCACATTGAACTCTGATATAAAAATAGTTACATATAAAATATGAATAAAGGTGATAATTAACTAAGGGAGAAATAAGAGATCATAACGGAGAATTGTTGTAATAGAGGGACTAAAGAAATACGTGAGCGCCTGAGCTCTCCTGAAATATTGATACAGGCTTCCATATGTAACAAGATCTTAATATAATAAGGATTCTGAAAATATTATATACATATACATGTGAGGTTTTCATAAATGCTATCATTGATGAAAATTATAAAATTTGTATATACACAGTTCTTAAACAAATAAAAATACCCACAAAGAAAATAAATAAATATATTGGCCTTTTTATCATTGGCATTATTGTCGAACTAAAAATATTTTGGGACCCATAATTATTTATTTATATATATACATAGAGCTCACACACTGGAGTTATGTGGTTTACAAAATCAGATGGAGTAACAAGGTTTTTATTGACTACATATAATTAATAGGGCTGTTGTTATTTTAATGGTCTTTATGATTTGTTAACTGTAAGCTTTAAGCTGTAGCTCTGTTAAAAATTCACTTCATAAATTATATAATATTAATTATTATAATAAATTATTATATAGATAGCCCAACATAGCCAGAAAATAATTTCTATCCAAAGTAGAGGGTAAGAGAAAGTTGTGTGTTGTGCACACCAGAATTTTCAATTATATTATTTGTTTGATTCTTATGTTTTTGAAGTATTGAAAACTTATATTAACCACAAATGTTCCTGAATTAACCCATAATATGATATAAAACTGACGAAAAATTGAGAATTGTTATTCAGAAAAAAAATTACCAGAGCATGTGGTTCAGATTGTAGGTATTCTTTGTAAGCTGCAAGCTGTGGTGCTTGACATAGTTGTGCAGCAACAGAATGAACAAAGTCGGGAACTAAACAGGTAGTGTTGTTATCAGACTGAAAACAAAAATTAATTACAAATAAATAAATCAATAAATGTTTTTAAACATTGATGTTTAATTTTAGATATATAAGAAGCATTAATAGTTATCAGTCATAAACAAATGAATTAACATCTAGAATTTTTTTAAAACTAAAAATAATATATAGATTCTTACCTGACAAAAATGATAAGCAACTACATGGGATGCGAGATGTTGAATTCTTTCAGAGACTAGATTAACTTGGCAGTAAATGCTTTGTGAAACACTTGAGCTTGGGCTTGGCCTATCTTTTCCATTGTAAATATGGATATCTAAAGCAAAGAGGAAGAAAACAGTCAGAACAACAAACTATAGAACTAATAAATGCATATAAATATTTATGTTGACAAAATATACCTTGTTTACGTCTGCCAAAGCAGCTATATTCTACTAGTTGCAGCATGAGAGCTGTTTTTCCAGTTCCTGGATGTCCTGATATTAGAACACCAGGCAGTGATGTGGCAAGACAGTTTTCAATTTCTCGAACGATGCTGTCTCGGCCTACAAACATGGGATCAGATTCCTGAACAGGAACCTCAAAAAACAGAGGTTTCAAGGGAAGCTGTTGGTTTCTATACTCGGCAAACCTCACTGTAAATAAAATAATGTTAAGACATTCAGATCATTTATAATGATAGAAAATGCAGAAAAAGAATGAATATTCTTAATACATTGTTTGTTTTTTTTATTTAAAAAAAAAGGTGCACAGTACTAAAATAAAACCATTCCTTAAGTGCAAGTTGTCAAAATGATTGAAGGTAAGTGCACTGACTGAACAACCAAATGTTAGTATACAGAGTGATAATTAGGTGTTTATGGAATAAATTATGGATATTTTTTTTACCTTTTCCTGGTCTATTATTGTTCTGCCACACTTCAAAAATTAATTTTATTATAAGCTCCATGGATGTTTTATGAATTATATTGCAAGAAAATTTAATCAATAGTCAGAAGGATTTAGTGCACGCATTTAATAATGTTGTTAACTTAATTATTTATTGATTAGGTGTTCAATCTGAATAATTATTTTTGATCTTAAACTTATTTCCAAACTTAAAAATATTTGATTTATTAATGTAGTTTAATGTCAGCAAAAAGCAATTTATACCTTTACATAGGACTGATATGATCAAATCAATGAGCTTTTTTTTTTGTTTCTTTATTTTACTGAACTCAATATGTTAAAGAATGATGTAAAATATTGAAAAAGAATTTTAAAACATGAATGATTAGGTTAAAATTAAATTTTTTGAATAACTTAGATTTGTCAAAAGAAACTACCAAGATTGCTTAGTAAAATTTTGGGAGCTGGTATAAAACTTTGATAACATAAAGGTATAATAAAATATCTACCTCGTGGGTCAATTGGTCCCTTAACCGATCCAGACCTGGCCGATCTCCTTATTGACTGTTTCCTGTTTTTGAAAGCGTTCAGCTCTTGCAGTCTCCCAGGGTGTGAAGCTAAAATCATGCATGTTAATTGCTCAAACCAAAACGAAAAAAAGTTATAGAATGAGTTAGTAAAAATAAAAATAAAAAATATTAAAATGAATGTGAATCAAACAAAGGGAGAAAAAAAAAGTTACATTAACTACTGAAAGTTAATGAAGCAAAAAAGTGAATACATTTTTTGTAGTTAAAAATAATTTCATACTTGTGAGGGAATGCCTTCTTTGAAGCGGACTTGAAGAGCAATTGCTTTGACCAGACATGGACATTAGAGAACCTACACTATCAGAGGAAGGTTCTTTCAAGTTCCGATGTTGATCTGCTTCTGACGAACCTTAAAAAATAAATTTTAAATTGATTCTTTTATAGAATATAATCTTAATAGAACTTATGATTATTTTAATTATTATTTCTTACCAGTCAAAGTAGAAACAGGACTGGTATTCGTTGAAGCAAGGGTGTTTGCTTCAAGGCTAGCCAAAGAAGAGATAGAGTCATGGCTTCTTGAACTCCTGTTTGATGCTTTAGGACCATGTCGGGCATTTTCTCCAAGAAGTAGACCAAGCCTCATATACAAATCTTGCTGATTCTTTCTCGGTTGACAGACTGGCCTGATTGTTCCACCTTCATCATCTGAAATACAACAAAATTAAATAAGGTATTATACATCACTATTATTATTATCATCATCAGCAATGACACGATATAGATAAAAAAAAACTGAATTAAGAAAATCAACAAGTAATCATAAAAAACATATTAACAAACTTATGAAACTATCCAATTTAATTTTCACATATATAACCAAAAATTAAATATAACTATTTGGAAACTTTTTTGATTTATTAATAAGAATATTTATACTGAGTCATTTTAATAAAACACTAAAAAATGTATGGTATTTTATTCATAAATTTATTACCGATAAGACACACTTAAGTCTTAAGAATTATTAAAATTGATATTATTATTTTATATATAAGGCAATAATTAAAAATTTAGTTCTTTTATTATTATTATAATTGGTTTCTAATAGGTAATATTTAAATTTTAATACAGCATTTGACACTAATCTATCTTTGCTGGCACAGTTTACAGTTATTAGATAAATTAGATTATTAAAAATTAATAATAAGTATTTATAAATATAAATTAATCAGAAAAAAAGATCAATTTCACAAAAAAAAACATAAATAAAACAAAAACAAAATAAATTAACACACATAAAAACATAAAAATGTTAACTAAATGTTTTTTAAAAATGTGCCATGCAAAACTTTAGTGCTTACAAACACGTTTTCAATGGAGGCATGCTGAAAGAAAAAAAATTAAATTGAGAAAGGAAAAATTAGAAGTGAGTGAAAACAACAAAACATAACAAAGAAACACAAATATTGTGCGAAAAGGAAAAAAAAGATTATGTTAAAAAAATATTTTATTTGTTTTGGAGGAGTTAAAATTGAAAGTCGTAAGTAAAATCAAGAAGGTAACACATTTTTTAAGATCTTTTTTTCATTTAAAATAGTTTATGACCTATTGGTCAAAAACTGTTCAATAAAGCTAAACAACAAGTAACATGTATTAAGAAACATAAAAAATAAACTTTAAGCCATCATTGACCTATTGCCATTTAAGTGCACAAGTGATGAAGAAACACATGTATGCATTGTATCAGAAGTGCAGGAGTAATGCTGGGTTTAGCATTCATCACCAAGTTTCATTACTTTTTTCTCTCTAATGTCTTCATTTTTTTAGCACATACATGTTTTTCTATTTGAAATTTGTGTCATAAAGAGTGATTATTAACCAAACACAGAAAGTTTTGAGTTAATAGAAATAAGAAAAATGAAAGCAGGCAAAGATAAGCATTTATTTGCCTGTGGTTATTTGGTTGAGACCAGCGATTGCACTTGAAGTCCAGAGAGACTTAATTTTTCCAAAGACAACTGAAGACCACCTTCTTGGTTCTGTGGCCCCAGGTGCAGAGGCAGACATCAATGCTAAATATAAAACTAATTTGTCATAAATCTAGCTTAGGCTTTTTAATATATTAAATAAAAGAACAAAGTTACAAGGACCTAAATAGTCGACATTTCAATTTTGTTTTCGAATCGATTCAAAATTTTTAACAGTAATACTATTCAATATTGCATAAATGAGAATATTGAGCAAAAGAAAAATTATATTATTCAAGGCAGATGTAAAATGGGAGTGTTTGAATATTGTTTGTTTGAAACAATATTAAAAAATAATAAACGAAAAATATCTATGACTTGTACTAAGCTCAAATTTAGCGTGTAATCAAATTAAATTATCTAACTATATGGATATCCAATGCTGTAATAAATCCTTTTAAAAAGAACAAGTGATTCTAATAACCCAAAAAATCAACAGTTAGTGATTTAAAAAAAATTGCTATAAATCGGACAACATGATATAAATTAACACGTGAATTTTTTTCATACTCATATAATGTGTAACTTTGCTGTTTGTAAGTTTGAGAGTATGATTTCTAAAATTTCAAAGGAATGTTGTATAAATTAAAAAAGTTAGAGAAATTAAAAAAACAAAACATGTTTCATTTTTACCTGAAAGAGCATTATCAGATGGAACTCTTGAAGAACTTCTAAGACCCCAATGATTCCGTAAGGTTTTTGGGCTAAGAAAGAATTTCTTCCTGCCTTGAGGTGGTGTTGGACAACCTGAAATCGCAAAAGTTCATATTTTGTAAAATGTTTAATACTGAAATAATGTTTATATTATATATTATAGAGCGGTTTATTTACAGTGTTTAAAAAATCAATACTGTATGTCAATAAAAAATTGAGAACATAAAATTGTACAAGTAAAAATAAAGGTAAATATTCACAACTTACTCTGAGTCATCACATTCCCAGGGTGATTGCATGAATCTTTCCCTGGTTTCGGCAACCTACTGGGTGACCATTCCCTCAGTGGTTCATTCCTTGCCTGAAACAAATAAAAAATACTCACATATATATATTATTCCAATGGATTAAGCCTATAATTGTAATTTTGGATAATTATATATAACTTTAATTTCCAAAGTTTTTCTAAGAAAACAAATTAGTGCTTTTCACTTTTAGTCCTAAATTCAGGAATTAATTTATAGTTTGCCAAATTTATTTATACTGATTTTTCATTCAGCACACAGTAGAAGATTTTTATGTACCACTAAATGTGACAGTAAAAAAGTGTGTGCGGGAAAAGGATCGATTGTTGTAAATGGTCTGCTTTACATAAACTAGACATACACCTCAATCAATCAAGGGAAGCTTAGACCATCCTTTAGTTATGTGATATTAACTCAAATTAGTTAATCATAAACAACGAAATTTTAATTTAATTTAAGTAATTTACAGGAGTGCAACAAGTGTTATGGATTCATATGTCCTGCAGATAGGATGTTTGTTTTCTGTAAATATTTTTTTTTTTTTTTTAAGATAATACAAATTTTATTATTAAATTTTATAATTTGATTGATCGTGATGAAGGAATAAAAAAATAAAAATAAAAAATGATGACATGTACAAATTAAGCCTTGACCGGCTTGATTATTAGACAAATTTGGAGATATTTATTGATACTAATTAAAAAAATTAACTAATGAAAAACGGATTTTAGTATATTATGTAAACTTATCAACAGGTGTCAAAGAGATATCTAGGTCGATGGAAAATCTGAAGTAGAGTTATACTGGGAGAAGGGAAGGAGCTATCGGAAGGATCTTTGTGGGTCAGCACAGCCTCTAAGATCGGTTTCTGCCGTCAATAGTCCATCGCAGCGATCTTATCGGACTCGGTGTAATTTAGTGGTCGGTCCCTCCATACAGAAAACTGGAACTAGCTCCATCGCTTATTATTATTTGGTCGTGGGCTGCGGTTATCTCCATATGGTCGGAGCTTATGAATTAAAAAAAAAAAATACGAGCAAAAGAACATGGTATTATATGTTTTTAACTTTATTAAAGAAATCACTCTGTTCAAAAATAATCATTTGTCATTTCATAGAAATAAATTAAACCCTTTAGCAGATTCGGATTTACAAGTGGTGCAACTGGGCATTGAGTGATCCAGAGCGAAGGTTCAAGGGGAGGGAACAGCCCCCTTCTCTAAAGAGAACGAACATTCAAACTGCAATAATTATCAATTTAAGGGAAAAAACAAAAACAACAGCCTGTCTCAAGAAAAATGTCTGAAATTGAGTAGTAAATATAAAATGCCGATAATGTTCTTCACATTGAAACCTGTAATCGCTGTAAATTCGTTTTAAGCGATCTCAGTCTGGATTACACACCAAAATTGTAAATAATAATTATGTGGCATACTCTTCTGGGCACCTCTAATTGCCTATTCTTCAAATGGTTTTATTGACGGTAGAGGCCAATTTAGGTGGGGTAAGTGGACATTTAACTGGGGTGGCATAATTTACACTTTGATCTTAGACAATACGCCGAGAAGCGATTTCTACACCGAAAGGTAGAAGAGATTATTCAATAAGAAGTAGGAGAAGCGTAATTTAGAGGGCGGTAAATTTCAAGCAAAATTGTTTTTAACTCAAGAAAAAACATTTATTTATTCTTTTTAGTTGTTTTTACCTCAGTTCACTCAATACAAATAGCTAATTTTATAAGACGATTGTAATTATTTCGAGATATATATAATTATGCCTACCCCTCTTGGCAAGATATCCTAGTTCGTACCATAACAATTCAGAACAAAACAGCCAGTTCTGACAATGCAACCATGGAACGATACTCTTGATTTGCCAATCACTACAAAGAGGAAACATTTAGAAAATAATAAACAATTAAAATGAAATAATCTCTGTACTAAATTATATTAAACTACCCGATCTATCGTCCCCTTTCATTACTTAAAAAAATTGTTTTCAAAATGGGATTACATGACACTAAAATAAATAAGTGGCCTTTGATAGTATAACATGATACGTTTGATTTTTTAAGTAAATGACTAGAGATAAGTCGATTAAGTGGATTATTACACTAAGCCTACAACGCTGGGAAACATAGAGAAATATTGACATGGGGGGACAGGAGATGGACTTCAACGCCGACACAGATTCGGATCACGTAGAACAATCTGCAGCCACTGGTGGCTAACATCATCCCACGCTCTTTTCTTCTTTGTCTTTTTTTTTTTTACCAGTCGGTTATTTCCTCCGATGGCCGTCGTACCGGGGAGACTCTTCCTTTTTCCGAAGATCGGTGGCGATAAGAGAACGGCGTTTTACGTTCCTCGCCAGCGCTGATGATGGAGGCCTAGGGAGCCTCTAAAAGGAAAATGAGAGGCTAGGATATTGTACTGTCGTTTCTTTTTTTTTTTTCGCCAAGTAGCCCCAGGAGACATACCGCGATTACTGCAAAGAAGTTAGCAATTCGATTTAATTGGCTTTGGAGAGATTCCGAGCTAACTTCTTACAAAGGCACAGGATCAGAGAGATTTTTCTATTTTTAAAATACTCGAACAATCCAACAGTAAGGATTGTGCCTGGAGCGGCATTGGTTCCTTTGAACACGCCCAATCAAGCAATCAACACGTCAAACCATTAGTACAATATGACCTATTTGGCTTTTCTTTAAGGAGCAGTTAAGTAATTAAAGAGATTTTGAGGTATTTTTTAATGAAGAGAGGCTGGAGGGCCAGAGGTGGGGCCGCGAGTTGATTGTGCTATCCATGCGGACGTCCATATGCAGGCAGTAGATATTAAAAAACATAGAAACTTTTAAACCTCCTTATATAAAACCTAAATGGGTTTAGAAAGTAGAATCCACTAAATTACCTCATACGTCTAATTAGACTATAATTAATTTTTTTTGTATTGATTTTTTCAACTAACTAAAAAAGGAGTAGTCAGATAATTTATCTGAAAATTTGAAATTTCACTTAACCGTTTGAAAGGCTCCTGAGTGATATATATATATATATTTATATATATATATATATATAAATTTATTTATTAAGCTATTTTATATCGTGTAATATTTGAATTCAATTTCATTCAATATTTTTCTAATACATTTTCTATATTGGTAAGCTAATATTAATCATTTTAATATGTTTTGTAACTTTAATAATATGATAATAATGGGATTAACTGGATCGGTGATGGCGAAAACAAAAAAGCTTTAAAGAATATCTGTTTCTACACATATATATATATGTGTGTGTGTGTGTGTAGAAACAGATATTCTTTAAAGCTTTTTTGTTTTCGCCATCACCGATCCAGTTAATCCCATTATTATCATATTATTAAAGTTACAAAACATATTAAAATGATTAATATTAGCTTACCAATATAGAAAATGTATTAGAAAAATATTGAATGAAATTGAATTCAAATATTACACGATATAAAATAGCTTAAGAAATAAATTTAATTTTGTGGAGGGGAGAGAGATGACGTCATTGCCCGAGGGCGCCGAATGGCTAAAGTATATATTCGACTGTATATATACAACGATAATTACTTGTGAAAAAAAAAAAAAGACTACCTATATGAAACAGTATTTAAGTGATTCTTAAAGTCCTATCGAAAAGTTAATAATAGCAACACAAACACTTTTAGAGATAATTTTTTAATATTTTTTTATAAGACAGGGTCATATTTTGTATCTATCTGTGTATATTATTATTATTAAATAAATATTAAACATATTATTATTGTTTAAGTATTCAGCTTAGATAATCACAGTAACAAATATCGACAAATGAAAAAAAAAAAAATCAGTTTGTAGGGGCTTTTCTGTAGTTCCGCCAGTGGCTAAGGGGTATTTTATTAATTGGGCCTAACATTGAAATTTAATTACAGCTTGTACATATAATGTTGTTAACACCTTTGTATAATATGTTCCCGTTATCTATTCGTTAGACAGATTCTTCTTCAATGTGACAAATTATTGATGTAGTTTTAATACTATTTGTGTTGGAGAGTTAGAGATAAGATAAGCGCCGACTTATGAATGGGATCAGGTTGTTTCTAGTCCTGCTACGTGTCAACGAACTTAAGTAGTACATTATTATTCCTCAAGCACTTTTATATTTTCATAACAATCGGCAAGTTACTCAGGGGCAGGCAAATCTTACGAGTAAAACCGGCACAAGAAATATAGATATCAAGCCTTCTTTGATGGCACCTATATTGCAGATGGGGAGTGTTTTTATCATTAGAGGCCACAATAATTGTTTATATTTTACCGTTGCTAGTTTTTTTATCACTAGATACCCACACCCACATACATACAACTTATTTGAATATTTGATAGTTGACCGTTGCATTATAAAGGAAGGAGATGGTCCGGGGTGGCGGTCATAAATAGGCTAAATAGTAGTAAAACTATTGCATTAAAAGCCAACGTTATGACCCGACTTTGCAGGTGTTCTTCAGGGAGGTGTGTTTAGCTAGGAGTTTCACTTATAACTGAACACACCTCCCTGAAGAAGATCTGCAAAGTCGGGTCGAAACGTTGGCTTTTAATGCAATAGTTTTACTACTATTTAGCCTATTTATGACCGCCACCCCGGACCATCTCCTTCCTATACGGCTTAATTCTATTAATTTCCAAATTATAGTTACTTAAATGATTAATTCTACCAGTAGATTAATAAATATCGCACATAAACCTTTGGGGGCAGAAACTACGCCACAGAGACCGCATGCGGCTTCCCAAGTCGCGGTTCCCGATTAGTATCTAACTATAGCACTTATAACTATTTTGAATATATAAAAGGATTTGTAACACTTTGATGTACTTACTGTGTTTTAGCATCGATAAATCAGATCATAATGTACTTAAAAATTTAGCAGCATCAAAAATGTACTTAGTTGTTACTTGCAATAAACCGGTGGTACCGCAGATAAAAGTATAAATTACTTCGCACAAGAAAGATTAATTTTCATTAAATGAAATCACTAATCTTTTGTAAACTATGTGAATTGGTGAGAAAGTATAATTTAAAAAAAATAGGTTATAATAAAAACAAGTACCATAACAAGTTTCCCATACTTATTTTTTAATGTAAAAAATAAGATTTTACGTTTATCATGCATATATTAGCAATTTTCATCAATCACAATTTTTATTACTTCTTACGTTTGAAAAAAAAAATGTACAATATGAAATTGCACATTAGTAAGAATGGCTTCCTATGTTATTGTATAAATTATTTTCACACTTTTATAGATGAACGGAAATTCATTTTCAATTTATGTTCAGAAATTTCAAAAGACAACGATATATACGAAAAAAATTTCTATTTATATATCCATCTATCTCGAACGCTCGTTAATTGACATTTGATTACCGAAAATAAACTCTTTATTAAAACTATTTACTTAAATATTTCAAAATAATTTTATATGTCTGTTCTATGAATAATTTTTAACGAAATCAGATCATTTATTAAAAGTTAATTTAGGAATTAGGCTGAAAGCATTTATTTCATGTTTTATAATTAATTCATAATAAGACTGTAATTAAGTATAAATTGTCGCTGAAGAATGTAAGAAATGTATTAACTACGACCAGATTCAATGTTATTAGTTTTAAAAACGCATTAACATAACACGAACGATATAAATATATCTACTGTTCGATTGCGAGTTCATTTAAATACTATGTAATCGTTTTAGGATTATTTACGTGTATGAATGGGAAATTTGAGGGGCGGTAAATTTCTGTTGAAGTTGCAGTGTTATGTTAAATAAAAAATATTTGTGTCAACTTTTTACTTTGATTTTAACCTTAATTTATTTAATAAAACGAGATTTTTTAATGATGTTTTGATATTTATTATGAATTATAATACCAAAAATACTGGTGACTTTTAATGAGGAGGGGATTAAAGGCAAAATTAATTTTCCTTCTGGAAAAAAATCCTAGCACAGGTCTTGGTGAGGACGGTGGATTTTATATTTTCAACGTCAATTTTATGATACTGCAGAGAAAGGTCATATACGGCATAAATTATTATTTACGATGTTTTATTACAAGATTGAACGATTAGTGGTCACAAAACGTGTCGAGGTTCGGATATTAAAGGTATGTTATCAGAGTGGCTCAAGGAGATAAGAAGAGTAAACAGGGAGAGTAGTAACCGGAAGTACTCGAGGAAGATAGGGGAGGCCTGAAGAGGCTGGCTCCCAGGAAGACACAGATAAGACTAGACAGTTGCCACCTCGTAAAGATCTGCTACAGCGGCTGCCCCAGGAGTGTGCAGTCGACCTGATAGATACTCGAGAGGAAGTAGGCCATTGTCTCCCCAAGCAACTGGGAGGAAGTGAGAAGCAACTCTTTCAACAATTCAAGTAATTTTGTCCCCAGATCACAGTAAAAGACTATTGAAATTGTGATAATTTCGTAACCGAATATAATATTAAAAATAAATAAATGGACTATAACTGACGAAATATAATTATTTAACAAAATTTTGGATTGGATACACAAACACACATAAACTATCGAAATAAAAAAAAATCTGGTTCAAGCAAACATACAAACTATTAACACCTAACGGCAGAAAAACGTTGCCCAAGTTGGGAGTGGGCATCAGCTCGACAGTCAAAATTCATGTTTTTTTCACCTGATCATGCACTATTGCAAATATCAAGCGGCTCAGCTATTCCGATAAAATAATTTTTGTAAGTTATTTCGTGGGGATTCTAAATTTCTAGGCAATTTGAGCTCTGAGAGAGCTATTAAATAGTTTAAGAGAAACGGACTTTTAAAAAGATCAGAATTAAAAAAAAAAAACGAAGAATATTCATTTTGGGATTTTATTTTATCGAATGTAATAGACACTGCTTCTCGTACGTATAGTAATGGAAATGATAAAGTCACTTTTTCCTTTCAATGGGCATTTTAAAACACTTCCTCATTGAGTATGCAGATTGATAGGGCTAATGATTGATAGGACATTATAATGACAAATGACTAAAAGTTTTATTCAAATAAGTAACTAAATTTCGACGCAGCTCATGGACAATGGGGAAAATTCTTCTAGATGAAAATTAGGACGAGTCAATTCCCATAAGAGTTTCTAAAACTTCATTGATGAGATCTCTTGAAATTTATGTCGAAATATTTTGACTATTTATGTCGAAAAGGGAGTCGATATATAGATATCTTCACCGTACATATCAGATCAATTTGATGAAGTATAAGGCGCACCGATAAATAAATAAAAACACTTTCGAGAAACAGCAAAAAAATATATAATGATAAATAATTTGAAATGGAAATAAGAAAAATCACGATTAATATAACATTCGTGATATATACCATTTTTTTTTCCGAATCTATCCAAAATGGCATATGAGTGATATAAAATAACAACGCTTGATTATACATGTACAATCATAAATGAATAAGTGAAACGAAATGCAATTATTTCACAAATCCAGTGAGAGGGTATACGTGCAGATGGGAATGCAATTGAGCAACTGACCTGCATATAGGAGGTGAAGTGGCCGTTGGTCTTCACCTGTGGCCTCTGAGAGAGGATCCTCTGTTCCTGAGGGTTCGCCTGGAGCTTCTTGGCTGGTCCGTCTGCAATGGAAAGCCAATGGTCAGCAAAATCTGGAGTTTGGGTGCGTTGGAAAATTAAGAATTCCATGCAAATCTTCAACTTAAGACTACAATAAAGGCATAATATTGATATAGAAATATGATCAAACTCACTGGGCTCCACAGGAGGGCAGAGTGGGCACTGTTCGTTCTTGAACATGCAGGAGTAGCATCGTTCGTGCCCGCACGAGTCGATCAGCTTCCTCTTTTTACCTTTGTCGAAAGGCATTTCGCAGCTAGGGCAGACTTCTTCTTCTTCTTCCTCTAGTAACTTCCGGATTGCTGCTAGATCTGCAAAAGAAAAGGAAAATCAATTGTGATTGAATAACTAAGAAAAAATATTTATAATTAAGTTTAAAAAATGATAGAAGCGTTTCCGTAAATAGTATTTGTCTAAGAAAGTAGATATTTGTAAATATATATATTAAACATTTACATGATATCTTACTTAAAGATTTTCTGAATGTTTCTGTTTTATTATATTGTTTCATTTGCGAAATAAAAAAAATGTTGGATAGTTAAGGAAATATTTTGGATTACAAAGATTCGGAAGATTTAATTTGAAGTTGAATTTATTACATTCTTAGTTACTCAATTTTTACAAAACCCAACCTTTTCCTTCAAGTGTTAAGAAGGAAATTAAATCGTATTTCTAAACCTAATCGTCGCTGAACCAAAGAATAAATATCAGTAAAAGAGGTAGACCGAGAAGTATGTGGGAAGATCTTTTACAGAGGTTCTCAAACGCGCGTAATGAGGGATGGTGGGTGGGGGGGAGGTAGCAAGCTTATCCCAGGGATGCTGCGGTAATAATATTTAATTTCAAAGTTATTTAATATCAAAATTGTTGATTTAAAAAAAATAGCTAGAAATTCATTAATATAAAAACAGAATTAAAATTAAAATCATATTTAAAATAATGTCTGGGCAAAATTTGATATGTTTTATACATATTGCATAAAAAACGAATAAAGGTATTGTTATACCACCGTTTTAAGAAAAACTGCGCTATGGTTTTTTTTATTTTTTTATTTTTTTTTCTTTCTAAAGTGTACTATGATGAAAAAATGTTTTAGAACTGCTGATTTAGCAAATCTTGGTTTAGACAGAATTAGTGATGGAGTTGGCTTAATTGTTGGTGATGACGGCAATCAACTTTCTGGCTTGTTAAGATAAACCAACAGACCTGTTGGGATGAGAACAATAGACCATCTACAGATTCCGTAGGCTGCCTGATGATACATTAAATACTTATTAATGACTATTTTTACTATTATATTATTATATTGGTAATTTTAAATAAATTATTTTGGATCTCATTTTGAATTGTATGAATGGCAAGTAGTGAGACGATAAGAAAGATTCGTAATATTAAAAATGTTTAGTTAAAAACTAGTTTTATTGTTATTTTATTCCACATTCAATTATAAATCCCTTTCCAACGGATTAGCAAAATCTGATAAATGATTTTAAATCATATTAAATAGAAGAAAATCGTAATTTTATACAGTGAATCTTAACTGTTATTTTGGTGAGAAAATAACAGTACACATAATAATATATTGCCTTCGTTCAAAATGATTATCCTAAATATGTTACGGATAGGGAGGTTTCGGGCTGAAACCCCCAGAAAACGAAAAAATATATTTTCGTTCATTGTTTCATATTTGTTTCTTTAAATTTAGTACTTATGAATTACGATGAAATGAATATTACGTTAAGTATAAAAATTAAGTTTTGAATTATAACGCGTGTATTCCAGCTACTAAATGTAAGCGCGTATCAAGAACAATACATAAAAAAATATTCCTAAATGTATTATTTCTACTTCAAACATTTTTTTTTGTGGGCTTTCAAGTATCACTTACAGGTTAATTTATTTTTCCGAAGTAATTACCGTTATTAAAAAATAAAAATCCAAGCCTCCCATAATTATATCCTGGACCCACTACTCCGTCTTATAGTTATTTATGTATAAATCTATGACCAAAATATAAATATTTCGCATCAGTGATCAAATACTCACAACGTCTAAAGCAAAAGCACATCTTCTTAGCTGCAAATGTAGCTAAAGAATGTCGGCCAGACAGACAGACAAAGCAGGGCGGAACCTGTACATTGCAGGTAGGCACCTGATGACCCAGCCAATGCCTCATACACTCATGGACCAATTATTTCAGGAATTTCCCGATGGACTTAAGGGGATGAGAACAATAGATTATCTACGGATTCTGTAGGCTGCCTGATGATAAAAAGCGACTGAATATTGAAAAAAAGATGTATGTTTCATGATAAAATCAATTTTGGAATTACGTATCGAACTATCGGCTGGTGTCAGTATCATTTTTGAAGTCGATATTTTTGAGGCTTATAAAAAAAAAAAAAAATACTTGATAATAAATTTTATCATATAAATTAATAATTTATCATAGTTGCGAGAATTATTTCATTTGGATTTGAAAAATGAACAATTCAGTATGATATTCTAAATATCGAATAAAAAAACAAATTAAATCGATTTAAAAATATATTATAAGAAGTCGAAATTATAAACAATTACTTTGATTAATTTTTCAAAATAATTTTTAAAAATCACAATGTTTTAAATTGAGTTAGTTGGTTTCGATTGGTGAACTAAGATCATCCATCCAAAATTTTTTGATAATCCTACCTTATAAAAAATAACTTCATGATTTTTATGAGAAGGAATTGGTCGGAGGGTGCGGTCAAATAAATACTAAATTTTTAAAAAATAGTATTTTTAATTACGCCTAAGCGTCATTAAAAATACTATTTTTTAAAAATTTAGTATTTAGGCGTTATTAAAAATACTATTTTTTAAAAATTTAGTATTTAGGCGCAATTAAAAATACTATTTTATAAAAATCTTGTATTTATTTGACTGCACCCCACGACCAATTCCTTCTCACATTATATCACGGTCAACCATCTCTACATCGTTCATGATTTTTAATTGAATTTATCAGTTTTAGAAAAAATAAAAACAAAACAGTAAGATAAACAAACATTGAACAAAGCTTAACATCCTTGTTTTGAGAGAAAACCTTAATGTTAACATATGTTTATTGAAGAAAAAGTATTGGCAGAGTTTTAGAAAAGTGACCATTACTATGAATCCATACTATCTCAGAGAATTTCTTTAAATCTTCATTTACATAGAAACGCTCCTCTAATAAGGCTGTCAATTAGTCTTGCCCAAAATCGGTCTTGGTTTGCAATTTACAAGACCACCTAACTGTTGCAAGACCAATACCACGACTGGTAAAAAAAATTGATTTTTTATATAAAAATTAAGGCAAAATAGTTACTAATACTTGACAATCTTAGTTACTATATGTTAATAATTGGTGTGACCAATATACTTTTTCATTTAACTCCTCTAATTTTTCATTAGGGCTTAGTTAAGTTTCTCCTATCTAAAAAATTACAGTAATATCTCTATAATAATAAGCTAATAAGTAACTGAAAGACTGCGACGAGACTCTTACGCAAGACCAAGACCATGAACAAGACTGAGTTTGCAAGAACAAGACTCGTCTAGGTGTCGCCTTTGGGCAACACTACTGTCAATTGCATGCAAGTGTATTGCATCTCAAATAAAAAATATAATAATGACATAAGCTCCCCTTACATAATCAATTTAATTAAATGTGGTATATACATGTAGTATAAATAGAAGGGTTGATGTTATTGTTACAATTTACTCATAAAAGAGTTAATAATTAGGCGTGAGGAAGATAACATATGTGGTATTTCTTTAATGATTTTATTTCAGATTAAAAAAAAACAAAAAAAAACATTGGTATACAAAGTAGCTGCTTATTATACTCCGAGAAAGAATTTCAGACTTAAAGAAACATTAAAAAAATGTGTATTAAAAAAAAATTAATTTTTTTTTTATTTTAATACGAAAAGGGTTTGTTATCAAAGTTTTGATAATAAACATAAAACGGTGATAGAAGATTGATTTTCAAATCCGGAAAAAATTCACATTTGTTCTTGGTCAAAACCGATGGCCGATAGAAATATATTACTAATGGACTAGAGAGTCCTTTCCCACAATTAGTGGTGCGTGGATGTGGGAAAGTGCATAACATTTACCTCGCATCCTGTCAGTTCTTTGTTAGCGCGATATTGTCTGCTTCAACCGATCTCATACTTTAGGCTCTTCTTTGTTACGGCTTTTTAAAAAAACTATTTATTGAGTTCCTTCACCGCTACATAGCTTCGGATCTCTCATCAGATTGGAGAGCATAACTCTGCAATATGTTTGAATCATAAAACTAAGAAAGTAAGTGCGCTATATTCTACCCTTCGGGCATTTCTGCACTTCTGAAGCCTCATGTCTCGTACTTTTATTCACTAAAACAATGCATTATAGCGTGTTAGTGCATTATTTAAACGAAAATACTTTATCTTGACTTTAAAATCAATACATAATTTATTATTAAGAATGGATTTAAATAGATAGTAAAATATACACATTCAAACTTAAAAAAAAAATTTTTTATTTATTTGGGTTTTATACAACTTAAGGAGTCATATCCCCAAGACCCAAAAGCCAATGTTACAAAAAATGAAATCGTAATAACATCTAAGAATAAATACTGTCAGTTATTTTAAAATATATGATGATTAATTAATAATGAAAATAATTAACAAAATGTCTAGATACTCACGAAGACTGAGCTTGTCATAGCATTGAATAAATGGATAAATTAAACAAAACACAAAAGAAAAATAATATATTTTCCTACTGTTAGATGGCAATGACAATTTTATTACTTTGTTATTATTTTTTTTTTTTGGACCTAAATATTGTAGTTGTAAATAATAATATTTGACTTGTAGCTCAGAAAAGTTCTGGTAACATTTTATCTGAGTTTGTTTCCTTTGAGTTATAAAATATAAATACAACTACAAAAAAAAAACTCAACTTCATAATTGCCTTCAGTTCATTTCGTATTTTCTACCTTTATTTACAACTGCTCAATAAAATATCCTTGATGAGCCACACTTTTATTTCATTAATTAAGGATTTTGTGCTGTACGAAAATGTTGTATTTAATGATTTCACAAATTAGACGGGAATGGAAAACATTTTTTAACAAACTTTAATTTCATCTGTCAAATAAGCAAATGATAGGTTCTAATATTTCAAAAGTGATTTAGGACAAAAGTTCAGTGCGGTAGGGGAAAAATAGTTAGATTTTGACTGAGAATTTAAGTCCTTGTATGAGTAGAATTAAGATTAGGTTTATCTATATAATGCCGTTCATATTTACTTTATTACTGTGTAGTAGAATTCTCAAAATGCTAAAAGTAACGGTAACTTTTTAGTACGCATTATGACTACTTTATACGAGAGCATTCTTAAGCTTTTAAATATTTTAATGAATCAGTTAATATGTTTTAAAAAATATTTAAAAATGGAATTGGTAGAAATATAGTCTCTATTGTTGGATATCAACTGACTCTAAAGAGGCGAAGGAGTCATGTATAAACTGCATGTCTACCTTGAGTTTAGCGTTTAGCCTTAAACTGAAGCGGGATGTTGCACAACCGAAATATCCCACACTTCGAATTAATTTCCTCTAAAAGAGCATATCGTGAATATATTCCAATGCCAGCAGGATAGGACTGCATTAGCATTTAGGAGGCGGTGACAGGGCAGGAAGTATAAATTCTGCAAAGACCACGTGATCTCCTGGCCACTGCAGTTGCTGCTTCATCCTCTATGCACTGGGCTTAGTGAGATGGTTTGGTACCATCGTTAGCAACAACTTCATGATAGCTAAGAATGCAAGGTTTTCTTAATAATGTTATGGTAAAATAATTATTAAAAATAATAACGGTACAACGGTATACAGTATTATAAAAACCCTCGTTTTATACAGATAGCTACCCTTCTACCTAACGCATTCAACAAAACAAGAGACGCCAGCGAACCCAAGGGTGCCCAAATGGTGTTTCATGGCGTAAGTTGCGCTATCAAAATTTTTGGAGCGGCACATTTTTATGCGGTTTTGAATTTTCAAATGGGAGAAATTTCGACGGGGTTATGCATTTTCTAAGTTTCAAACGAGCGACCAATTAGAAAACCGTAGACCAGACTACGAAAAGTGTAATTGTATGTGATCTACGTTTTCTAATTCTATTTTGGCATGCACTGTTTTTAAGAAGAGAAGAATAAAATTTCTTAGGATGAGGCGTTAGTTCATCATAAATACTGTAGATTTTTTTTTCCAACTACACATTTCTTTCCACTTCAGTCACAATAATTGAAAACAGCAAAGGGTCTGACAGGCTTAAAAATTATATTTAATAGCTCCAGGAAGGAAATCTTTCATCCAACTATGCTTTAGGTCAATATGCAGAGTTATTTACGCACCAAATTAGTACCTAATCAGAATCTGGACAAAAACCATCTCGAAATTCTAATATACGAGAATGATATAATGCCAAATATTGACTCTCAACTTTCTCATTATGAAACTAATGGAATTCGAAAGAATAAACATCTAATGTAGTTACAATATTTAAGTCCTATCCAAATAATAATACCTAATGAAACGGTTTGGAAAGGCAGCTAATGACATAATGCTCGCAGGAGTGTGTTTAGACACTAAAGGTTAATGGCGGATATAAAGGATCTGTGTCAGCCTGGATCGGCCATTTACGAAACGTTCTACTCAGATATTTAAGATTTCCTAAAAAGCTGTCCAATATTTAAAAACCGTCTGAAAGGAAAGTGGACTCCCAAACCACAAAAAAACATATAAATTCCATTCGCATATTTTATCACTATTAATAACTTCTAGAAGTTGGGTACGGAATGATGGAACACTCAGTTGGGATAAATTTGTAGTATCTTATTAAAGAATAAGAAACGTTCATATATCAGAGAAATTTTCCTTGCATTGGAATGATTACATGATTCGGGTCATATATATTATATAAAAGATAATCATATTTGTTTTGATTGCCAGTATGAAAATAGTACAAATCAAGCAGAAAAATGTAACACGTTCTTCCTATATTTTGAGGGGGCTTTACATTTTTTTTTCTTTGCTAATTACAATGGCTCATTATTAAAAATAATAAACCATAACGGCCAACCAACAAAACTTTTCATTTTTAAGCTAAAGTTTTTCATAACATCTATTTAAGTCTGGTAAGTCATGAAAACCAGATGAAATGACCAGATAACTGTCTACCCGACCTGTATATAGCTTTTTTTTTTTTGGTTCCTCCCTTTCCTCGCCGTTAAGGCTATACGGGGTTTTCCAGGGCCAGGGGGTGTGGGCGGGGATTTAAAAGACGCCTTGGCACTGGGACGCGAACTCATGACTATCATTTATCATATATCGGGTTGCCGGGCAACGGTGGTGCTCTGCACTCATTCGGCCATCCCGCCCACGCCCTGTTTATAGCTTATGTTTGTTTGAGGATGGCATGTTGCATGTAAACATCTATTTGAAATAATTTAAAAAATGTTAATCAACCCTTAATCCGCATTTCCCCTTTACTGCCGTTGAATAAACGTTAAGCACTAGCGGATCCAGGATTTAATTTTGGGAGGCTTCAGCCCGAAAGATTTTTTTTCATATACATATAACGATAATTAATTTGAAAAAAAAGAAGAAATTAATTATCCATATGAAATGGTGTTTAAGTGGTTCTTAAAGTCCTATTAAATATAATTACACGAACAAGAATACTTTAAGAGATAGTTTTTAATATTGTCTGTAAAACATGGTCACATTTTATCATTTTGGGGGGGGGCTTCAGCCCCTCCCCCCGTAAATCCGCCTGTGACGTTAAGCAAAGAACAAATTGAGTCTCATTGGAATTCAAAAAGGAAAAGGTCTAGGTGGAGGATTATCGACGGCCAATGAGAACAGTAACTGCTCATTATTCAGTTATTCAAAACTAAGGGAGCCAGTAACATGAATGAGATCACCGCGATGACAGAACTACACCGTCAGAGATAGCCACAAACGGACATCCAGGATTTAGAAAAGAAGCGCCCACACCGTTGCCCACATTAAATATGCAATCGGCCAACAGGTACACAGCTAATTATCAAGGGCCTTCATATCAGCAGGTGTAGTGTAGGGTACTTCCGCTGGAACATGGGAACCGTCCGGCATGAATCATTCCAGTTGCGGAGGCATCCATGGCCAAGGTCCCCACCTATTGGCTAATACATCGTTATAAATAATTTAACTGACTCAAGAAGATAACTTAATTGAAACAGTAAATTATAAAATGTATTTTATAGGTTCCTGTAGGTGGAGGCATTTTAATATACACGAACCGGCCCGAATAATTTTACATTTAAATACGTTAAGTAAATACATTATTAAATGCTAAAAAAGAAAATTGGATTTTCAGTTTCTATTCATTTGAAATTATATAAGTACGGAATCTCCTCTATGATATATAATGATATTTAAATATGGATACATTGTTTCCTGCTATTTTAAAAGTCTAAGGAGACATATTTGCTGTCTATAAAAGATTTATTAGGCTTGCCGAAATTTCTAAGCATGTAGGTCATCATCGGTGCTAAAAAATATAACATAGAGACAGAAGGATATAAATAAACCATGATGAAAAGATGACAAATTCACATAAGATAATGGTAATATAAACGTAATAGTACTCCAAAAAACAAAACAAACAAAAACATAAAAATACATTAAAAATAAAACTACTCGATTAGTACAAATGAATAACAAGTATGCACAAAACAATAGGGCTCTTTAATTATGTTTATATTATATATTATCGTTAATATTATATATTCAATGCATATATTACCATTACTTTATGTGCAATTTTAATTTTTTGTCTTGTCTCATTTATATACTTATGTTTATATCTTGTATATGATCTACATTCAAGGATCGAAACGCATTTAAGCCGGAATAAACTATATACAGGCCAAAATAAACAGGCAAATCCGGACTTGCGTCATCCTTATTTTATATAAATATAAATATGCATATGCTATGCATAAAACGTAGAAGACAAAGAGAGGGCGGCCTAGGAAGACCTGGTAAAGTTGAATAAAGAAAGGAGAGGAATGGATAGAGCGAGGTG